ACATTCATCTCACATCCTCCAGCCTCTCGACGTAGTATGTTTCTCACCGCTGAAGAGAAAATACTCTGAGCGTGTCAGAGGCTTGGCACGGAACCGCGTCTTCTATATCAACAAAGAGAACTTCCTTCCAGCCTTTAAGGACGCGTTTTTCGACGTGTTTACGAAAGAGAACTGTCGAAAGGCCTTTGAGGCAACAGCGATAGTCCGTACAGACGCGCAAACAGTCATTGATCGTCTTGATATACGTTTACACACCCCTCCTCGACAGCTATTACCGGAAGCAGCATGGGAGTCCCAAACACCAAGCAATTCGCATGAATTCGGATCTCAATCACGGCTGATTAGTAGCTCTTTCCTTAGATCTCCACCCGAAGCTAAGGAAGGGTTCTCACAGTTGGTAAAAGGTGCTGAGTTGATGCTCCATCAGAATGTACTTCAAGCTGCACGGATTACAGAGCTTGAAGAGCAATTAGCAGTATTAACTAAGAGAAGATCGCGCAAACGGAAGCAGATACAGCAAGGTGGATCTATAGAGTATGGTATTAGAGCATTGCAGGCAGGCGTAGATGCGGGTCTGAGTGCTCAACAATCGAAAAGGACTCGTGATAAAGCTGGTCCTGAACGAGGACTTCTAACTCAACGACGATGTGGAAACTGCGGAATAGCTGGACACAACTCGCGAACCTGCCAGCAGGATAGAGATGCTCCTTCTGAATCACATCCTAGCATAGCAGCTGTATAACTAGGTATGTAGTCAAATAAACCATGTTTGCAGTCACCTCATTTTCAATGCCAAGGAAAAGTGGCGGGTTCGGTGGTGTGGCCGGCTCGCTGATGGATTACGTTATATTATATAAGCTTTTATACTTTTAAAAGAATAGAATATAATATAAATAAGAGAGAGTTATATAATAAAAAATAAAAATAAAAAGAGAATACAAACTTTTAATAGCTCTCTATTTTAAGCTAATTATAAAAGTTAAAAATATAACTTAATAATAAGAAAAAATATCTTCTTAATAACTATCTAATACTCTTCTTAGAGTACTACTTTTAGTATCTTAGTACTTCAAAAAAATATAAAAGATTTAAAAAATAAAATCTATAAAGTAAAGAACTATTTATAAGAATCTAATATTCTAATAATTAAGGTATAATTATATAAATAGATTACTATACCTCTAGAGATTATTTCTAGAGTACTACTAGTAGGTTAGTTTAATATATTAACTATATACCTTTTTAGACTCCTCTATAGACTATATACATCTAAGAAATAAATTATTATACTTAAGAGATAATTAATATATATTATTTTAAGTATCGAATTATAAATAAATAAATAGACTTTAATTTATCTATAAAGGAGTATTAATATCTAAAGCTACCTAATCTAAAATATAGAATCTCTTTTATCTATCTTTAAAAAGTAAAATAATAGACCTCTGTAGAATAAAATTAAGCTAGAAAAATATTTCTAAGCCCTAAAATAGAAGAAAATTAGGAAGTTATTTTTATCTCTAGACTCTTAGTAAATCAAATACTTAGTATATACTTAGAAGACTTAGAAGGATAATAAATAAAGTAATTATATTACCTATTATTATTTTAATCTTAAAGTTATAAAAAACAATTATTTTCTATTATTTAAATAATTTAAGAGCTTTCCTCGAAGTCCCTAGTTATAGATTATATAAAGTATTTAGCTCTATTCTCTTATATTTATAGAAAAAATTTAATATAAGAAATATTAGTAGGATCTATTATATATTATAATCTAATTAAATAAGTTGACTAATTTAGAGGCCTATTTATTAATCTTCTACTAAATATATTAACTTAGAAACTAAAATGATCATTTTTTAAATTATATTTATAAATAATTTAGAATACTAATTTAATAGATCTAATACTTTAGTAATAAAAAGAAAGGAATAATAAAAAAGAACTATTAGTAGCTTATAATAAATATACTATAGAATCTATTACTAAAGAGAAAAGCTTTTATATATCTTAATAATATATAATAAAATATATTTTATTAATATTCTAAATACTTTAAATACTAGGGAATAAAATATTTTAGATTAATTAATTATCTATTCTATACTAAAAGCTATTTAGTAGTATTATATAAATATCTAGAATAATATAGTAGAAGAAGATACTAGGTATTAAGACTAGTAGAATCTAGATATAGCTACCTACTTTACTTTAGGAAATATAATAGATTCTATTTTCTATATTAAAGAAACACGTTTATATATATTAAATTAATATAAATAATAGTAAAGCTACTATTAAAAATATCCTAAATCTAGTAGTATAGCTAGAAATAAATATTATCTTTATATAAGAGCTATAGCTAGTACTAATATAGTAAAGGAAGAAGCCTATAGTAAACTATATATAATTTCTATAGAATTATATTTATTCTTTATATAGATTATCTTATC